TCCTAGTCAACCTTTGGTCTTTTGAAGAAAGGCACCATCTTGCTCATCTCTTCCTCAGCCTGTGTCACGGAACCTCTGGGCACAAGAGACCAGAATACACACACAGGGAACCAACAGTATTGGTTGAGAAATAGCTGCAGTCAGAGAAGCTTTACTTTTTACTCTTCCTGTAATCTTAAACCAGGTGACTTAACTTTCTACTTATGGTGGTTTTATAGGTAGGATAGGCTGTGTTCTAAGAGGCTGGATAGGTCCCGCAGTAGTAACAAACTCCAGAATCTTGGCTCATCATCCACAGAGGCTAATTTTCCACTGACATTTGTTGTGAGCCACCTCTGGGACGTGTCTCTTCACACTCTTGGCTGATAGATTGTCTGTCATCTTGAATATTGCAATTTCTCTTGAGAGAGAGACAGAGAGAGGACTTGGATGGGGTGGGAGGGAAGGTAATGTAATGTTTGCCTGGCTGTGTCACACATAATACATACTCACAACTTACTGGCTAGAGCTAGTGACATGACCTAACCTAATTTCAACAAAAGCAAAAAAGTACCTAGAAGGACAAAGATTGAGAGTTTTTGTGGGTGGTTTGCATATGACAGCTGTAGAGGGAAAATAGTACTTCACTTCATGATTGTTTTAGCCATTAGATGCCACGAGCATTTAGTGTGATATCTAACACAGCATGAATACTCAAGAGACGTAAATGGAGTGCTGGCAGTTGTTAGAGCAGTTTATATTACATCCGTAGCATTCTGTTCACCATCCATCTGCTCAGCAATTTCTTCTTACTATCCCACCCCTTGAAAATGCAAAAGTAGACTTTTCTGTGGACTTAGCAGAAATACTCTTAGGTACATATGTGTGCATGTGTGTGTTCACGGGTATACAGATGAACATGTAAGTGCAGGTGAGCACATGTGTGTGCATGCAGAGGCCAGAGGACACCCTCAAGTGCTGCTCCTCAGGTGCCATTCACCTTAAAAAAAATTTTTTTTTTTAATGAGACAGGTTTTTTTCATTGGCCTGGAACTCACCAAGTAGGCTGGCTGGCCAGCAAGCCCTGGGGATCTATCTACCTCCACCCTCCCAGCTCTGGAATTATAGGTACATGCCATCATGTTAGCTTTATGTGAGTTCTGGGAATTGAACACAGGACCTCATGCTTGCACAGCTATCTCTTCAGCATACACAAATTCTTGAGACATGGAGTTGACATAATGAAGTTGAGACCTCGTCAGTGAACCTGGTCTTCCAAGTTTTGAATTGAGCACAAACAGTTGATTTTTCTGTAAGAGGATTACTTTGTAGGGTGAGAGGTTAGATGTCAGGATAGGCTTTGCAAGTCTGCTTACTGTCTTGCTTTTCAATTTAAGAACAACTGACTTTAAGCTGGCTTTCATTTGGGTCAATATAGCAGTACTCAATATGTATTATATGCCTGTGAAGTTGGTCTCTGGATCAATTGCAATTAGTTTGCAGCAGATTGCATTAACATATCTGAAATTAATATGGCCAAGTGTTCTAATGAAAAGGAATTGACTGTGACCACACAGTGGCTGTTCTTAGTCTCTCTCAAATGTGTTTTCTAAAGCATATTTTTTTTCTTCTTTGGTTAATGGCTTTAAATTGGTATGTCAACATAGACTGAATCTATTGATTCTTCCCATTTGCCTTTTAAAAGTGGTCCCTGATAATGACATGTGTGTGACATTTAATGTTTTCTTTCATTAGAGGGCTTTTACTGAATACCTTAAACTTGTGTTTTTCTTGGAATCTTGTGTGGAATGCAACTGAGACTATTAAGCCTTTGAGTGCGTTCATTTATCAAGTTTCGTGTCTTTCAAGTTACTAATGTTTCATTAAGACTTAGAAGGTCAGAAGTAAGATTAACAAGTAATATGCAGTAAATCCTGTGAACATTGTTTATCCAGAAGTTTATTTTTATCCAAGTATTTATTTTTAGAGAACTGTAGTCAATTTCAACATTTAGAGCATTATAAGCAATATATAATGATTATATGCATGGATGGAAGAGCTAGCTTTAGGCTATGTCAAAATTTCAGTATTTTACAAATGTGTGTGAATTATTATATTTGTTTCCAGTCTTAGGGAATGACTTTTAAACTTTTCTGGTTTTGAAGATGGTTAGTTTCTCAGAATGAAAAGTTGTTTGTATTGGGGACTGTCATGGTTGGTTTCTGTTGTCACCTTGACATACCCAGGAATAGGGAGCCTTAATTGTGGAATTTCCTCTACAGGATTTGCCTGTGGGCATGTCTAAGGAGATTTTCTTGATCTTTGAGTGATGAGGGCCCAGCCCACTGTGGGTGATGCCACCCTTGGGCAGGTGGTCCTCAGGTGTAAGAAAGCAGGTTGGGCACAGGGCAGAGGAGCAAGCCAGTAAATAGCATTTCTCCATGGTCTGTGCTTCTGTTCCTGCCTTCAGGTTCCTGCCCTGAGTTCATGCCTGACTTTACTTAAAGATGAACTGTCACTTGGAAGTGGAAAATGCAATAAAGTTGTTTTTGGTCAGAGTGTTTTTTCATAGCAATAGAGAAGTAACCTTGGACAGGGACAAAAGGCAGGGCTTATTCATTTGGCTACCTAACTGATTTATTTGGGCAATTTTTCACGTGCCAAGTAAGGTATCTTCCTAAAGATGTCAAAAAGTTTAGAACATGCTCTTCCTTTGAGTAGAAGTTGGACTATTTGTAAGGTTTTAGCAGGAACTTTGGACATTGTGGCAAGACATTGTAGCATACAAATGTGTTTGGCCATATTTAGGGATGCATGGAGCCTATGGGCAACAGGTTGAAGTACAGTGAGCCATGTTCATAGCTGTTTTGGGATGCATGGAGCCCGTGGGCCACAGGTTGGGAGTACATGTGAACCTCTTTGGATCCCTTGTCTGAAGGAGCTCATGGATGCCTCCTAGTTTGGAGGGTATAGAAGATGCCATTTTAAGGACACTTTAGAAATTTTTGAAAGTTAATTAACATTTCCACACACAGCCCTGTGGACCTCAGCAATCCAGTCAGCTTCATGCCGTCTTGGGTGTTCATGGAGACCATTGGTAGAAGCTGCTGGGAAGTGTCAGGCTATTTTTCACATTCTGCCAGTCTTATATTCAGTTATAAGATTAAAGTTTTAGTTTGTGTTAATGACATGGTCATCTTATCTCTTGTAAGTTGCTTTACATTCTGATTCATGGGTAGAAATAAATAAATTTATATTCCTTTTTTCTGTTTTTGTTTTCATTTAAATGTGATTTATGGTTTTGATAAGGCCCGCTGTTAATATTATTGGATAAAATACAAAAGTAATTTACTTGTGTATGTCCTTCTATACTTTATGTTCTTTCAACATAAATTAAAAAGAAATTGTATTAGTTACTTTTCTGTTTCTGTGATAGAAACACCATAACCAAGGAACTTATAAAAGAAAGAGTTTATTTAGTTTACGGTTCCAAAGGAATTACAGTCTGTCATGGTGGGAGGAGGTGATAGGAGCAGAAAGCAGCCTGCTCTCATCTTCACACAGGCACAGGAAGCAGGAGGGTGACTTGAGATCCAGCAAGGCTTAAGAACTTTCTAAGCTTGCCCCCAGTGACATGCCTCCTCCAGCATGGCCACACCTTCTAAGACCTCCCAAAACAGCTCCACCAACTGGGGACAAAATGTCCAAATACTTGGAGCCTATCAGGAATATTCTCATTCAAACCATCACAGTAATTGATAGTGCATTTTGGAAAAACAAAACAAAACACTTCTACTTGAGTTCTAAGCAAGATTATATAATGTCCAAGTTTCAGTTTAGCAGCTCTAATGAGGAAGACCCTTTCAGGTTTCTGTGCTGTGCTGGTGCATGAAGGAGACAATAACAGTAAATGTAAAATGTCTACTAGTCTATTAAAAACTAAAGAAGTGAATTAGTCTGTGGATACATGATCTCATAGAGTTAAAAACATTTTTCCTGAGAGACTTGACAGAGATTTTTGTTGTGGATGCAGTTAATACAGTAACACAGTGTGTCTTTGGTAGTTAGGACAGGCACCTAAGGGGAGACATAGCTGTACAATAAGGTCTTTAATATTTTTTCAGAATAAAATATCTTCTGATTTAAAAGTACTCACCAACCACAGAAAGTTACAGCAAAACAAAACAAAAAACACCAGTAAATGTTGACACCTTATTCTAGAACAACACTGAAACCAGAAAATTTTTACTGATATATTTCTATTAATTAGCATGTTGATTTTATTCTGTTTTTTTTAACCATTTTGAATTTTTAAAAAAATTTGCATCTGTTATTTATATGTAATGTGCTTCACTGTGACATTTCTATATATGCATGTAATGTTTTGGTACCCTCTTTCCCCCCCACTGATCTTCTTTCTTTTCCTAACTATCCACTTTATACCTTTATGTCCGCCTTTTCCTGTGTTTGACCCAATGAGTTTAATTAGGGCTGCTTACAGGAGCATGGGCAACTTTAAAGTGACTGTATTACTGAAGAAAATGTCTTGGGCCAGGCGTGGTAGCTCAGGCCTTTAATCCCAGACAGAGATGTCTGAGGGTTTTAAGTTAGCCTGGACTACATAGTGAGTCCCAGGCTAGCCATGGCTCTGCAGTGAGACCCTGTCTCCCCCTAAAAAATTCTCTTAGTCCCCCAACAACCATTAATTGCCTGTAGATCCTCAGGGCTGAATGGAGGTTTATGAGCCCTTCCTTCCTCTATGTTGAGGGGCCAAATCTTTGCAGGTCCTGTGCAAGTAATCAAACTATTTTCTTTAAAAAAAAAACAAAAAACAAAAACTACATTCATTTGTGTGGGCATTAGTTTTGACTAATCATGGAGAATTTACCTAGATTTATGCTCTCATTGGCATGTTTAAACTGCGTGTTGCTCATTGCCAGCCATAACACCTTTAAGGTTGGCCATCTGGGCCGACTCCTCCTTTTCCTGATATTAATGACTGTCCTTACCTCTCTCCCTAGGCAGTTCACTTAACCTCTAGAAGATGGCTGAACCTTCAGGAATACCAGAGCAAGAAGCTCATGTCAGAGCATGGGGTGCGAGTTCAACGGTTCTTTGTAGCAGACACTGCGAAGGAGGCCCTGGAGGCTGCTAAGAGGCTAAGTAAGCTGACTCATGGGGACGTGCGCCTACTGCAGCCTGTGAATGCACAGTTGATGCCTTTCAGATCTTGGCTCCTTTGCTCTGCTTATCCTAATGGAGACAATTAAATATAAGTGTGTGGGGTGGGGGGCTGTCTTTAAATTGCAAAAGCAAAAAAAGTTCAAACAGAAAAACTTGATTCTTTTACTTGAGATAGCAGCCCATGGGGGTCACCGTGTAGGAGTACCACTGCTCCCTCTTCAGTCAGCTGTGCCTTAGTGACTGTGAGTAATGGGGCTGAAGGATATAGATAAACCTGTTGCCTGGGAGATTAGGCATGATAGTGACATCTTTCTAGAAGCCTCTTAGAAGTTGGGAAGAATAACTGGAGGAAAACAAGGGGAAGGGCGTGCAGCAGTTTTGTTTTCTTGGGACAATCTTGCTATATATCCCAGGGTATCCTTGAACTTGTAACTCTCCTGCTGAGTGCTGAGTGTTGAGATTACCAATATGTGCCACCAAAGTGCAGCCAAGGGCCTGTGTTCTTAAAGTTCCACTCCTTGCCCTCTGACTTTGTATAAGGGCCTTCTCCTTTCTATGTATCTGGTTCCTTATCTACAGACCAAAGCTCACTGTGTTTTCCTCCCAGCTGCAGTCTTGTGAGGCTTATTCATTATGGTGGTGGAAGGCCTGATCAGTGTCTCTAGACATGGATGGAGACCTGGAGAATTAGTGATCATTCTTTTTAGCGCTCGTTCTGTGTGGTGGCATAAAGATTTTCTTAGTGTCATCTGGATTATCACTGTCCACTATAAATACAATGTGAGCACAAAGTAGGTTTTACATTTCTAAAAGTCACAGTGAGAAGACCAAAAAATGATAGGTGGAATTAACTTTGTAATATATTGTATTCAATATATCTAGGTAACATTTTAACATGTAATTAATATTAATAAATTGTCTATAGAAATTTTTTTTGAGATAGAGGTTCTTATAGTCTGGCTTCAAACTTACTGTAGCTGAGGATGACCTTGGATTTCTGATCCTCCTGTCTTTACTTCCCAAGTAAATGGTGGTATCACAGGTGGGCACCACCGTGTCTGATTTATGTGATCCTGGGGTTTGAACCTGGACCGGGTGCATCATGTTAGGTTAGCACTCTTAAAACCGAGATATCTGCAGGATATTAATCTTCACAAACCTTGTTCGTAGTTAACACCTGCAGTATGTCAGATTTCACATTAGTCCTATCTCAGGGGACTCAGTAGACATCTGCGGCAGTTGGGTGTCCTATTGGGCTGTGTAGATCTGGACACTAGAAGGATTTGCATGTGCCTGTAACCTTGGGGAGCAGTATTTTTTTTTTTTTTCCTGCCAAAGAGAAAGAGCAGAGCATCTGCTCACTGACTCTTCCCGGGTGGCAGTAGCAAGTTTGAGTATGCAAGATGGACTTAGGCTTCACTGCGCAGTGTTCCAACTTCCATTGCTCTTTACAGTGTAGGTTTCTGAGGTACTGCAGCTGGAAAACATTGATGTTCTGTTATTTCCTTCTTAAACTTCTCCGAGATACTAATAGGCCAGATACATTCTTTCTTATTTCAGTTGAAATATATATTTGTCCTTTCTGTGAAATTTATATTTAGATCCTTCTTTGAAGTGTGTATTTACTGACCATGTGTTGGGTGCTGTAGATCTGGCAGTGGAAGACAAACATGACTTCATTCTTCTTAGAATTAGGTTCTAGAAAGAAAAGTCATTGCAGTTTTCAAATGCTAAGTATAGAAATGAAGAACAATGTATATTTAAGAGATGGAAAATGATTTCATGCTCAGAAACTATCACAACTAGTTCTTATGGTATGGCACTCAGTAATGCCAAACCTGGGTCTAGCTCAGGAGACTGCCAGAGTATACTGTGGGACAGGCTGCATCAAAGGGTGGTGTTCCAGCCTTTTCTCAGGAAGGGATGAATTTTGTTTTATACTCATGATTTAGGAATTGAGAAATGAGAACAAATAAATATAAAGTTAAGTTGGTCTTTGCTTTTTATTTGTCCCTTTAATTTTTATAATGCATTAAAGCACTAGCCTTTAGGTTCAGGGGGCTTTTAAAAGCCACACTGGAAACTGTTGATGGCTTCTGTATGCCCACTGGTTTAGACACAGCGTAGCTGGGTGAAAACGTGCTTTCAGACCTTCATGGAGCTAGGGGCTTATTGAAGTAAATGTTTCCTCTTTGTGGGTTTTAAAAACACTTGTTTGGCTATCACTTCAGAGTTGGGGATTCCAATGTATGCTTAAGATAACTTTTGCTCTTGGGGAATTCACCATGTGGCATCTACTTGCGGGGTCTACAAGAAAGTGAGGGAGGAAAAGAAGACAAGAATACAAGTTGAAATAAAGGAAAATAAAAATTAAAAAGGAAAACAAACATAAAAGTTAATTTTATTCTTGAGGGGAGGTTTCAAGAAATTCAAACTGGATGAAGGAGCTGAGAATGGTAAAGAGATTTAAAAAGTCAGACAGGACGAAGGAAGTGAGCACCATGCTGTCCTGCAGTGGTTCCCCTGTGCACACCCGTGAGGTTCCCTTCTGTGGTCTGGCCAGCAGAGCTTCTCTCTGTGGACCTGCTTCTAACTAAATGGGAATTCAGAGACTCAATCAAGAACCTCATTCAGAGAATGAATAGGAATGCTCTCATAATTCAGTGGGTAGTTTTGTGAGAAGCTAGGTATCCTCTGGTTTCTGTTGCTGAATCATTTTGATGGAAGAGGAATAAATATAATAGAATATTAGTGTGTGTAACATGTAGAAAGTATCATACAGGATTTTATTATCATCATCATCAGGGGCATCTAATTCCAGGAGGTTTATTACTGTCAAGATTCAAGTTCACAGATCAGAGGTGTGTGAGTGGTATCTTACTGACCACATGTCAGGGAAATTCATATTTTAATTTAAAATGTTTGTATATGGTTAAAATGTATTTATTTGATTTACCTTTTTACTTTTTTTGTATTTGGATGTATTGGTTACTTTTCTTATTGCTGTGACCAAATACCTGACAGGAAGCAATGGGTTTATTTTGGTTCACAGTTTGTGAGGATACAGTCTATCATGGAGGGGAAGGCACAGTAGAAGGAGTCTCATTTTGGCAGAACAGGATGTAAAGAGCAGACAGAAAGTGGGTTGGGGCTACAAAATCTCAAAGCCTACCCCCAGTGATCCACTTCCTCTACTGAGGCTCTACCCCCTAAAAATTTATAGCCATCCAAAATAACCCCACTAGCTAGGAACCAGCTGTTCAAAGATGTGAGCATATGGGAGACAGTTTACATTCAAACTATAGCAGATGCTTTGAAATAAAATGACATCTTATGAAACATTTTGAAAATAAGCCTTGATAGTAGCCATACCTGTGTTTCCAGTGTAATATCAGTGAGTCATCTGTCTCTTCCTTGGTGTCTGAAACCACATTCCTAGTTGTCAGTTGCTCATCTGTGTTTGTAGCTCTCCTGGCCCAAACAGTACTTGATATATTGATTGACTAAACCTTCTTGTAGCTTCAGGACCTCTGCAGTGCCTCTCCTATCTTTGGTGTTTAGTCAGTTGCCAAATCTTTTCATTATTTAGTTTAGCATTTTTACTTTATGCATGAGGAAACAGGTGGGATAAGGTTAAAAAACTTACCGATATTTTTGAGCTAATAATCAACCAAGATGGGATTTGCACCCAGCTAGATTAGATTTAATAACACCCACATGCATTTTCCTTTTGCTAACTTGATGATGATATTCTTGGGAGATGGTTTTGAGTGGGTCAGCATATTTAAGATGGAAAAATGAATATTAATAAAATTAGAAGATTCGATTAAAACTAGATGTGGCAGGTTCTGAGGTGCAATATCTAGAATCCGTAATTTGCAGATAATTTCTTAATGATTCATTTTGCTGTATCTCCTTACGCAGTGGAACCTTTTGCTGTATACTTATGGAAAGCTTGTTGAACTTGAACATTTGTTTAAAATGGGTAACACAAAGCTATTGTTTCTGAAATACAACTTATAATAATAAGATATTGAATGAAATCCCCATTTTTTTGCACAGAAAATGGATTTATGTTTAATTGAAAGAGTAAATTTGGTTTGGTGAATTAAAAGTTTAGTATATAGTTAATCACTTCTGCAGCAGTTTATAAGAACTAAGCATGCTTCAAAGAAGGGATTGTTTGTCTGCAAGATGACCTTGTAGATAAAGATACATCCCAACAAGTCTGATGACTCAGTTTGATCCCTGAGAACCATGTGCAGGGTAGAAGGAAAAAACCTACCCCCTAAAGTTGTTCTCTGACCTCTGCACACATGTACACAGGCACACAGACAAAATAAATAAGTAAAAAATTTTAAAGAAGGGATGTATTTTTCCTTGGACATCTCAGGAGGCTTAATTATTACATATTTTCTCTTCATAGGACTAAACTTCATGAATGCAATAAAAGATTGTTACAGAACACCTAGTTTGTAAAAGGCTAATCTGTATGCTACTGTTTCAGTTATGTTTTAAAATACATAAAGGACTGTGTCTGTATAACTCTGAAGTATTTGCATATAAGCACAGATGAAGCATATTGGATTATGACCTTCCAGGTTTCAGACTGTTTACAGTGTGTTAGTCATCCCCTTCATGTTGACAGGAAACTCTCAACATTAATCAAATAGAAAAAACTCCAGTTTTTTTTTTTAATCAGGAAAGAGAATTGAAATATGAATGGAGACATTAATCTTCTGTGAAGTAGTGACATAACATACTAAAAATGGAAGCAGGGAGCATTCATTGAGCTGGTTAGCTCTGGGTTGCTTTCAGCTATAACACGTTTCCATTCATCAATATGATAACTGAACTCTTCATTTTATATAATCACATCCTAAAGCCCGGTAAATTAGTTACACCATTAAGGAATTGTACTTCATGTGTAAAGGGAGCTGCTGCCCATTGATACTGATTGACAGCTACTATTAATCCTG